AGATAATGGCTAAATAATAGGATCTAATTTCCAACATTACCATGACCCATGCCGCCACTTTCAACATCCGAAACAATTGCCCTTACACCGTATGGGCTGCCGCAGTCCCTGGCGGTGGCAGGCGTCTCAACCGTGGTGAAACCTGGCAGATTAATGTGGCCACTGGCACAACACAAGCCCGCATTTGGGCTCGAACCAATTGCCAATTTGATGGCTCTGGAAGAGGCAAATGCCAGACAGGAGATTGCCAAGGACTCTTAGAATGCAAAGCCTATGGATCTCCACCCAACACGCTGGCTGAGTACGCCCTTGGCCAGTTTAACAACCTGGACTTCATTGACATGTCCAACATCGACGGGTTTAATGTTCCCATGGAGTTCAGCTCCAACTCTCCCCGGTGCAATCGCGTGATCAAGTGTACTGCAGACATTGTGGTACAGTGTCCAGGCCCGTTAAGCGTACCAGGAGGATGCAATGGACCATGTCCAGTGTTCAAGACAGAGGAACACTGCTGCAATTCCGGTAAATGTGGACCTACAAACTACTCTAGATTTTTTAAGACAAGGTGTCCAGATGTTTACAGCTATCCTAAAGATGATCAAACCAGTGTGTTCACCTGTCCAAATGGAACCAATTATAAGGTTATATTCTGCCCTTGAAAGCAGATACCCAGAAGGCTATACGAATAGCGATATGTGTGGAAAAATAAAAGCTTGAAAAATGGCTATAGTTAGTCATTTTGAGCACATCTCCTGATGTAGTGATGTGCCCTCATGCTGTTGTTCCAATAAATTAAATAATTCCACTCTTATGGTTACAAATGACTTGGAACCTTGCACTCACTTAGCTAAATCTACCTTCTTAGTTCCATCTTTTCCTTAGCATAGTTAAAGTGTATTTAGATCAACTTACACGTATTTTGAAATTAAGTTTTTTTTTTTTTGAATTATTTTAAAAGCATATTTTCATATCTACCTACTATAGTTAGAAAATTAACTTTTCTTAATTACTACCTCTTATATAATCAGACACTTGCCTACTTTGTTTAGTTGATAAAATCTTAAGGTTTGGACCATCAGATCAAATTCGAAAATTTAAATTTCAAGGAACAGAGTGAGTATCACAGTAATACTAATAGAGCATTAAGCATCCATAAAAAAATAAAATTACAGCATTAAGCCCATTCCTCTTTAAATCTTCTGTGGACTCTTAATATGGGCCTTAAGTCTCTTGTTCATATTTTGTGGATATCTTGCTCAAGCCCTTGTTTATTCCGGTAGAAATTAAATTATCTAATAGATAAATTCAACAAATACTAACTATATAATTTATTTTAGTTTAATTTAGAAATAATTTTTTTAAATGATTTATAAACTATCAATTTTGTTTCAAAATAGTTTACTTGACAAACATTCTGTTCATCAGTTAACGGAATTCTTTTTGGTTATTGACAAGTTACCTCCTAAA